AGACAATCGTCATTGGTGTTGGCCGTGATCGGGAATTGAACTCGAGTCGCCGGTACGTCGCGCAGAGCTCTAACCACGACACTACCGCTCCCCATAATGGTAACTACGAGCAGAACCACACAAAGACAAAGATCCCCCGTTTAACCTTAACAGACTGTAGAGGCAAGTGTTGTTAGCGAGCACCTATGAAGGCCGGAATGGTAGACGAGTGGGTGGGTGGCAGCACCACGCCCGGCCGCCTTTGTCTCCCAAGTGACAATGTTTACACATCTCACCAGGTACTCATTTGAGGCTTAGTCGACCTAGGGGAGGCCCAGCACCGATTCAGATGATAGTCACTGGTGTTGGTCGTGAATCAAAGTTGGGTCGCTCCCCACACACACACAACCTTGTGATAAACACCTCAGAGCCCATACAACTTCCTCACCATCGAAATCTGCGCACAGTCGCTTCAAAGACCCCCTTGCATGTAAACCCCTCTTGACAAGCTCCCTCATCACACGTCCTATCTTCACGTAATGTATAATGCGCCTTGATTACGGTTCTTTACGGATAATTAAGAATGGTACACGATGAGGTGCATACAATAGATGATCGTCAGTAATGGGCGAACCTGTGATGCGTGAATTAGGTAAAAGCAGCAGAATTGACGAGAGCAAATGATGATGAATGGTTTGGATGGATGGGGAATGAGCGGTAACCATGGAGAAAGATTATGAAGAGGGAGCAGGGATGGTGGTAGTGGTTATGAGGGGGAGGTTTAGGAATAGCGGGGTGAGCTAGGGGGGCAAAAGTGAGCCTTCAGTGAGGAGTGGAAACTAATGAAGGTGGTCCCGCTTGACGAGGAGGGGAAGTTTGTTTGGGCGAAGGGGAGCGAGACGAGAGAGAGGGAACGCGTGGATCGAGCACAAGGAGGAGGAACAGAGGGAGACAGCAAAGATTGAGAGCGAGAAGGGACATAGCAGGATACTAGAGTAGCAAGATGGGGTGGGGTAAGACCATGCAGAGATATGTTGACCAGGGTGAGGGATTTGAGTAGTGAACCGGTAATAAACAGGGAGGCAATGCAGTCGAGCGAGGCGAGTGGAGCTGTGAGAATTGTATGGAAAGTTGAATATGATACGTGGGGACGTGTTTTGGATTTGTTGAAGGGGGGCACAGGCATATACGGGGAGACCAAGCATGAGAGAGTTACAGTGGTCTAGACAACGATCATGGTGAAGGAAATTGATGGGGAGTTTTTTCAGCAGAGGTTGAAAAAAGCGGTCGAATTTTGCGAATGTTGAATAAGTGAAACCGGCAAGCGTATGAAGTGACGGAAACGTGAGGAAATCGGGGAAATATAAAATGGAGGGAAAGAGATGGTGTGACAGGGGAACGGGAGGCAGGAAAAACGATAATTTTGGTTGATGGACAGAAAGTGACGTGACATCCGAGATTGGATGGAGACCAGACAGGATGAGATGCGGGAAGCGAGGTCAGGGGGAAAAAGGAGAAGAACATTTGGATGTCATCCACGACGAAATTATGGGCAAAGTTCAGCGAAGAAAGGAGAGATTCGGGTGGTGAAACATGGAGAGAAAAACACGTCTCCCCACCCGCAGCTCAGCGTTGCTCCGTACACAACCTCCTCTGTACATTTTAGGTGCAAAAGCAGCGGCTCCCTCTGCAGGTCTCGATTCCGGCCCGGAGCAGAGCTGCGCCACTCTATCGCACGGTGCCAAATTCCCACAAGCTCTGGCATACCTTCTAGGCCACCACGTGACCTCCACAAACCTCTGCACGGTGTGTAAGAGGTCACGTCGTGAGCGCTCCATGAAAATTGTCACGACGAAATAGTTTGAACCAAATTCCCACTAATGTTTCTGGGTTTGCTTTCTAAGTGGGATAAAACGCACTCCTAACCACACGTAATACAGCACTCATTGCCCCCAACTGGCAGACCAATGTCCCAGGTCACTCAAGCAAATCAGACTCTATCCTGGCTTCTTTGAGTTCTCACCGGGTTACACGAAATAAACTCGCAACTTTAAACTCATTTTGTCAACATAGCAGATCTTCGTCATGTGCAGGGTTCGCTTGGGAATGGTGAAATATGAGAACAGCCTGCTGCATTTTGATCTGATCATTATTACTCAAACATGGGAACAGCCCATCAAGTCCGAGATCTTCATGAATCCCATAAATATACTCTTGGGGAGAGAGAGGCAGAGGAACAGTGGGGGTGGCATATTGATGTCCCACTGAAAATGGCACCATTGGGTTTGTGCGGAAAGGCCGGCCCTTCCCCTTCGTTAAATGTTATCTTCACTCCATCAAAGGAGGCAACCTCAGAGGGGCAGGGTGCCCGGATGGGGTCCGGCTTGCATCATAACCGGCTGGCACCGAGGACCTTTTGAAAAACAAAAGGTCACCCCCCCCCCCCCCCGCGTCGCCCCGCGACCACCCTCGCCCTCCCCCAGGGAGATGAAACGTCCCCGGGGACGAGGATCTCGGGCTTTGGCAGGGAGCACGCCGCGGTGCGCACGCTCAAAGGCCCGCGCGCGGTCCTCCACAACGCGGTCACCAACCACATCAAAGCCTCCATCCATCTCCCCACGCTCGCAAACTCCTCGCTTCCCTCAAAACAAGCCGCCGACGCTCGCGTAGAGGCCGCATGGCTGGGGTCGTCACCCGTCGGGGAGCGTCGCGGTTTGAGCCTCGGGCTGCACTGCTTCTTGCTACACGTGCAGTATTAGCCACTGCTTCAACGCGGTGAATACGGCATGTGCATTAACCACTGGTTGGCAGTGGCCGCTGAAGATGCTTTTTAGCTTCTTTCGATAAATAGAATAATTCAAGTGCTGTGCTTGCGTCATGATCCATATTTAAGTAAATAAATTACCCGCAAATTACTTAATTGGGTAAAACCACATAGTAGACTATAACCGTCTGTGAAACACAGCGTCTTGGTGATCCCATTAAATGTATAGAAAGGATGAAAACAAAACGAACTACATTTGTATAATCACAAATCAGCGCTGCGGTAAAGTCACTTGAAAAAGTGAGACAACGCACTGAAAGCTTTTCTTTACAATTTTCCCAAAGCAGCAGCAGCAACACTGGAAATAAAGCCACTGCGCACATGTAGCATTTACTCAATCAGAAACACGATGTGTTTTTGCACACGCGACGTTTTGAACGGCAGGTCTGGAATATCCGCAAGGGTCTTCATGTCACGGCTTAATGTGCATCACGCTGGGTGCGCTTACTACATCACTCGGCCGTATATATCCAGCTTATCAGAGCAGCTGCTTGTCTTGGCGCTGTGGAGGATGCGATCTAAAGAGGAGAGCATTGTGAACGAGACAAATTGCTTTTCAACGGTGCGGAGGCAGCCCCTGATAAAATCCTCGATGGGCCCCTGGGACGGAGATAGTCTAAGGCGGCAAGATGGGTTGTTTTGTTTCTTGGCCCTCACCTTGGCTGGTGCGACACCGCGCTGTAGGGCGCTCGGCAAGGACCGCGTTTCCATTCAACTCCAAGGTACAGTGGCAGTCGTCAGCCTCAGTCAATTCACTGCTGGATTGAAGGCCTTCCCAATAATCCACTCCGTAAAATCAGTGGACGTCCTTCTCGGATGCGTTCCGTTCCATGGCTGCCGTTGATATGCACAGGTGAGGTCTCTTTGTTAGCCCACTGATGGGTGAGAGTTTCTCCCGTGCTGTGCCGGTCATGGAGGTTGTTTTGGCCAAACTTCACCACGCTGGTCAATGTGAGTTGGTGAAAGGGTTATGGGGGGGGGGGGGTCCCAGCACAGGTTCAGACAGCGCTGGCCACTGACGTTAGCCGTGGCCAGCAATCAAACTCGGGTCGCTGGGTTCATAGCACAGCGCGCTATCCCCTTCCCGCAGGGTATATTCCCGGGGGAATAATTGAATTAAATGTAAAAAATAAAATCCCAATCGGAACGAACGTTCGTACGAACTCGCAGCTCTCGGCATCACACCGCAGGTACATCTGAAAGCACCGTGCCATTGTGCGTAAGTGAGCAATTCAAATGATTGTTTTTTTTTCCCAAAGCGACCGTCCACACGCAGCAAATTTCGGCATTGATAGCCGTGGAGCGCGGAGCAAAAAACACGCACGCCGCCGTTTGCCCTCTCGACTGCGGCAAGCGAAGGCGCGGAAGCTTTTCCCTCCGGAGGCGCTCGATCCTGGCCCATGACGGCTTCATCGCCGCACCCACTTTAGAGCATTCGCTGTGGCCCCGGGGGCAACGCAGAGACAGTTTCCTTGCACGTTCTGCTCTGAAACGCAGCGCCTAAACTTCCTCGGTGACCAAATGCATTTGAGCCACCTCAGCTGTGTGGACACCCACGCACGCTCACACACTGCTGCCCCACACAACGACAAAGACCCCCAGTATAGCCTCAACAGACTGTTGGGGCAAGTGCTGTTAGTGATCAGCTATGAAGCCGGCATGGTACACGAGTGAGTGGGTGGCTAACACCACGCCAGGCCGGCCGTGGCCCCCCAGTGGCGATGTTTTTACACACTGCACCAGGTATTCATTTGAGGCCAAGTTGACCTAGGGGAGGCCCAGAACCAGTTCAAATAATCGTTACCCGTGTTGGCCGTGAGTGGCAATCAAACTTGTGTCGCCGGGTTCGTAGCGCAGCGTGCCAACCTCGGCACCGCACGTACTGTACGTACCCCCACACGAGTACACACACACACAAAACACGCTTCTCTAATAAAGGTGTTTGAGTCAGATCGCGTTATTTATAAATGTGTCGTAACCCTCCACCACCCGACACGGCCAAACAGTAAAAAATGTGTCACGTTTCTACTGTTTCTTCTACTGTTCGCAAAGCTGAAAACATTTTCTCACAATCGCTACACAAGCTGCGTTGTGATTTTACGAAGTTCAATGCGCAAAACATCGGTGAGCACTCAGTGAATCCCGGCGCACGTCAGCCGGCAAAATGAGACGCAACAATAACCGCGGAGGCGAAATTAGACAGCCAATACTTGTTTCTGCCTTAGCACTGACCACCGTCGCCAATGCCAACAACTGCAGCTGGGATGCACAGGTGGCGAGGACAACTATTTACTGCTACGGCGAAAAACCCGGGCGTCGATTCGCGTGCAACGCATTTACAGCAGCATCACACTGCGTGCAGCGGCTACCTTTCTCTCCGTGACTGTTCGACCGGGGTAGTAGGTCTAGCGGCAGGAGGCCACTGGAGTAAATGCACTTTTAAATCAAAATTTTAAACTCAATTCTTTAGAACTGTTTCTGTGTTTAGTTCGCCGCCCTTACCCTCGGCGCCTGCAATGAGCCCGGTTGGCTACTACGCACGCTGCAAGAGATATTGAAACAAACGTGCGTACGACCGCAGAGAGTAGCCGCAGCCGAAGCGAGGGGCGTAGCCTCGATGCGGCGTGTCTGGGTGCAGAAATAGTTTCCGGGAATGCCGACCCGGACAGCTCCGGCTGAAATTAGTGTTTAATTTATTATTTTATCTTTATACGGGACTTTACCGAAAGAACCAAAGAGTAATTCCTGCAGTCACGAAAGCTCTAAATTAAGTTTGAAATTAGTTTAACAAAAAAAAACCTGGCATGGACCTGGCAGAGCGGGCCTCACCCTGCAGCAGAGGTCGCTGAGCGCTGACCCCGTAGCCGGCGGCTGCGTTCGTGTAGTTTGCGTGTCCCCACGTGCCCGGTGCTTTCTCCGGGCTCTCCTGCATCTCCATGGTGATGTGCTCGAGCTCAGAGTCCAGCTGTGGAAGTGGTACAGAGACAAAGAGTTACCCCCCCACCCACCCCTGCATAGCCCTACGCGGACTACGGGGACAAGTGCTGTTAAGCGAGCAGCTACGAATGTCGGAATTGCATGCGAGATGCGAGGTCAGTACGATGGCTGGCCGTCTTTGTCACTCCAGTGCTGATATTTACACACTGCACCAGATACTTATTTAAGGCTGAGTCAATCTTGGGGAGGCTCATGACTGATTAAGATATATCTTGCGACTGACTGGGAATTGAACCCAGATCGCCGATTTCGTAGTGGAGGGTGCCAACCATTATACCACCATTCCCCCAAGGTATATTCATTATCACACAACTGCCATTTACTGACATACGAAATATTGAATGGCAGATCACGAACATGCACCATAATCAATTGTTCAACAAGCATATAGTTCTACATTGTGTACAAATGGCATGATGATGGTCCTTCCTTTCCTCATACATTCAGCAATTATATCACAGATAATTGGCCGCTGACTGCAACAACCGCAAGGTCTCACAAAAGAGACACAATTACAGCGACGTGTGGAGGCGTCGACAGCACCGGCCGCGGTGAGCTCCCGATCTTGATGTTTCAGAAAGTCACCTGCTCTTATTTGCCTGCTGATGTTGTTTTGAAATGTACGCAAGTACGTTGAACTTTTTTCGCGCCGTTATGTAGCCAACTGTGCAAATCGTGGGGGAAAATGTACCAACAAAAATTTCCCCACGCTTAAGAAAGCAGAAATTGTGTAAACACCTGATGATGCTGGTTGTCATCTCCAGAGAAACGTTGGAGAAAGACTGTCAAATTTTGCTCACATTTCAACATTTACTTTTTTTTACTGACAAACCAAATCAATTGCCATATTTGCCAACGTGACAACTTGATTTGATTGGCTCTGTCGGGGAGTGGAGAGTTATAGTGGAAGCAAAATTGAAATTGAAAAACACGCAATGCGGTTCGTGTGCCCTCTATCTCCTTGTGGCGAGGCTTGGACTGGGCTATTGGGCATTCACCCGGACAGTCAGACGTGAGCTACATATCAACGTCGCTCAGCTGTCAGCTGTTCTCGGTTGCACGGAGTGCGCGAGACAGCTCAACTGGATGACTGGCTTACCAAGAAAGTGCCCGGTTACCTTGACTGTCGTTTCTTTATCCGGTAAAGCCCCACTGAGCGTCCGGACGTTTTCCGGAGGATCGTGCCACATCACCGTGTTTGACTCACCGAATCCAATTTGCATGACAAGTGTTTGGCTTCGTGTGTGGGGTGGGGGGCAAAACCTGAGAACCTGGAGAAAACCACCCCCCTCCTCCCCCCTCCATTCAAGAAATCCACAATGCAGTATAACGCGGCGGTAGTCGCGTTCCTGAAGATCACCGCGTATGGAAAAATCGCGCTATAATGACATATGTGGGGTAAAGCACAATCTGTGATAACAGTCGAGATGCGCACGCAGGCTGAACAGAGAGTGAGGCGCGTGGGAAGCATCTGGAAGCATCCAGCAGCATCCCGCTGCCTCGCGCGACGCTGCTACACCGAGGCAGCCGCACGACCGCGTATGCCTCCTCCTCGCGCCGCGACGCAGTTCCCCTCGCCCGATCGCGTTATATCCAATTCGCATCCGCGATATGAAAAATGCGTTCCCTAATACATTCATTGCGTTGTAACCAATTCGCGTTATGAAAGCAACACATGCGGCGTTTTATTAGAACAGACGGCACTGTCATCGCCTGACCACCTTGTCACGACCCAGCGAGGTGGTGGCAGCCGGGAGGTGGTGGCCAGGATGCGGTGGGTGCCTGCGTGTTCATGCCAGCCAACGTGAGCCAAACACACAACTCATCTCAGCAGGGACGATCTCAGTCCCAGAGGCCAGATTATGTTATTAGAAGCTGCCTATTGCCTCCACAATGTTGACAAGCATATACACATTTGTGTAAACGATCCACCAAGCCTTACCTCCAAAGCACTGGCACCACAGCACGGCAAGGACGCCACTGTGTGTGTATGTGCGTGTGTCAGGGCACCAAAAACAAAGATCCCCCGTATAGCCTTAACAGACTGTTGGGGAAAGTGCTGTTCGAGAGCACCTATGAAGGCCGGCAGGGCACGTGAAGGTGTGGCTGGCTAGAACCACTCTCGACCGCCTTTGTCTCCCCAGTGGCGATGTTTACTACACACTGCACCACGCACTCATTTGAGGCTGAATTGACATAGGGGAGGCCTGACTGGTTCAGATATCCGCCACTGTTTTTGGCCATGAGCGGAAATCGAACTCGTAGTGCAAAGCGCTAACCACCCCACTACCGCTGGCGGTGTCAGGGCACCGCACACACAACACACAGCAATGCCAGCGCCATGCGCGCGTGCCGCAGTGCCGGTCACCTGAGTGATGTACATGCGCAGGCGCTGGTTCTCGGCCTGCAGCCCCTCGAGGCGGCCGCTGGAGCTGTGGTTGACGCTGGACACGGAGGGCGGCGTGCGCGTGTCCTCGCGCTTCTGCGCCTGCGTGAAGCGGAAGCGCCGGTTGCGCGTCGCCGCGTCCGGGTTCGTGCGCATGGCGATCAGCTGGTGGAGCACGCGGACAGAGAGCCAGGAGGCGACCTGTGTGAGTGCGCACGGATCTTTGGGGGCGAGCGCCGTCGGCGAGCGCCTATTGAGGCCGGCGCTGAGTACGCAGGGGCGTTGTGGCCGGCGCCGCGCTCGGCCGCCTTTGCGTTTGATATTTACACGCTGCACAAGGTGCTCATTTAAGGCCGAGTTGACCTAGGGGAGGTTGTTAGGGGTTAGTTGACCATACTTCAGCCTGTTGGTCAGCGAAAGTTGCTGAAGACATCAACGTGGAAACATAGAAGTCCAGTACGACACATTTCTCTGCACTGCTCTCTGCACCGCAAGCCCGATGGCAATCTGTGAGTGCGCGTCGTCGCGCATCCAAAGCTCCACCCAGGCTCATCCGGAGGGCGCCCCAAGACTGCAGGAATAGCTGCTGCTTTGTCCACAGGCGTCGTGTGTGCGTAATCCACACAACACCACGTCTCGCCACCAAGAGCGGTCGACTGTTGCTCAGAACCACCTCTTTTGAGCTCATGATAGAGGTGAGAGGGGGCTGTTTTCTCGGAATGACGACATCTAGTTAAGACCGAAACAGGAGGAGGATTTCTCCACAATTCTGGCTGTCGCCTGATGAGGCTGAGTTGTAATTACCGGTAAAACGTCACGTTACTCGAATTGTAAATGTCGTAGTGGGTTCACTCTCCAACACACCTGTGTGCTGAACCAGTAACAAATTGGCACGTGTTGTTTACGTGGCAAACCTTCCTAATTGGCTTTTTGGGTTGATGGCGGGTTTAACAACACATTCATATTTCCGCGACCTAACCCCAAAAACCCTCGATGATGGATAACATTGGTCGTGAAAGCCTCCTACGCATTACACTCTTTTTCGCTCAGTCTGCCAGCCTGGTCTCGGGTTCCAAACGTCTCTCACGACTCATTCTGTACCCCCCACTCGGACAGCAACGAAAATCCCGAGCGAGCTTCTCAATGGAATCCTAAATTCAATGTTAAAATCTCTCCCCTGGATCGGCTTACCTGCCAAGCGCCATCAGGCATTGTTGCTGGTGAATCTGTAATCATGGTTTCTCGTGTTGATAATGCCTCTTTTCATTCCGGTCTTTTCCCTCTATCGCTTAGGCTGTGCCAAGTGACTCCTCCGCTAAAAACAAAACACACCCGGAGCTCTGGCTTCGTGGATCCTACAAACTACCACCCTCCGTAGCTGCATCAGCAGCCATCTGGAACTCTCTCCCACTGAACAGACGCAGCGGCATCCAAGCACCATCACATTCCGGTAGCAGCTCAAGGTTCTCATATGTTCAAGCTCACCTGTTCAGGCTCTCACGTGTTCATGATATCACATTTCCAGGCTCTTGCCTGTTCATACTCACTTGTTCTGGCTCTCACCTGTCCAGGCTCTCACATGTTCATGCCATCACCTGTTTAGGTTGTCACATGTTCATACTCACCTGCCCAGACTCGCCCATGTTCATGCTATCATATGTCCATGCTCTCACATGTTCAGGCCGTCGTACGATTGACTTACAGGTCTTGATCCGTGCCTCCGAGTTCTCGATCAAACAACGCGTCCGATTCGCGAACTATCATGACGAATAATATCCACACGGCAAACACCCTACCTTCCACCACGAGCACCACCTCCGCGCCGCTCACCTTGGGCATGAAAACGAGGCAGAGGGTGATGGTGGAGGAGAAGATGGTGACGAGGGCGACGGTGCAGTACTGCACGTTGGGCTGGTCGCGCGTCAGGAAGGAGACGGCCGCCCCGATGATGCACATGATGCCCACGTTGTAGACGCTCATGCCGATGTACTTGCTGTCGTTGAGCGCCGGGATCGATACGTTCCGTGTCTCCCATGCCAGGAAGCAGCCGAACACCTGCGTGGGACGGGCAGAGAAGCAGTGGGGTGGGGTGGCGGGGGTGGCACGGCCCTCTGTCAAATTCGCAGCCCCCAGCCGTACCAGTCTTAGCCCGGTTCCTGGGTTCGTTTTTGGTGCCGTGAGCCCCTACGCAGTTTCACCGCCCGCGTGCCCGAAAGCCACTGCAGGGCAGCCGTCGCTCGTTCGCGACGTTCAGATCACTCAGTGTAGGGGTGCACATTGCACAGGATAAATGCTGACAAAGTGAACGGGTGGCAATTTCGTAATAATTTCAAGATTCATTTTGGGATGTTGCCGTCAATTTCATGAGTGAGTGGTTCGTTTCATGCGTGAGGAAACCAGAGTGGCACAAAGTTCTGCACAGATTGATTTACAATCCATTGTTTATGGCTTTCATCGCCTGGAAACCTGGCACCTATGGGCCATCAGCCACAGCAGAACGCAGTGCTCTTGGGAAAAATTTGGAGGGTCCATTTACAGAAGATTTCAGCATTAATATCAAAGCGACTAACACTCAACAGTCGCAAACTACCAAAAATCTTGCACATGGAATTACACCAAATAATCACAACTTGAGTATACATTGCTACAAACTTTAAACAAATATTAAATTTAGCTACTGTATTAAAATGTCGCATAATCAGAAATGCACGAAAGTATTCGTCCTTAAATCATTTAAGATGCCGAATGCGCCCATAAATTATTGAACGCGCGCCCGGCGTGCTCCCTCGAGAGCACGTGGCACGCGCGGTCACGCGCACCCTCAGCCGACTCGGCCTCACGGCGGGCACACACACAGGCACAAAGATCCCCCAGATGGCCTTAACTGTAGGGGCAAGTGCTGTTAGTGAGTAGCACTTGTGAATCCCGGCACGGGATACGAGGCACGGGACACGAGGGGGTAGGGTGGTCAGCACCACGACCGGTTGCTGCATTTGTCTCCCCAGTGGCGATGTTTACACACCGCAACAGGTACTCATTTGAGGTTTAGTTGACCTAGGGGAGGCCCAGGACCGGTTCAAATAATTGTCATTGGCAGTGAGCGGGAATCGAACCCGGGTCGCCAGGTTCATAGCGCAGCGTAGCGCTAACCGCTACACTACCGCTCCCATGACACATCCACACACACAGGAGCTGGCCTCGCACAGACACGCTCGCAGGCGCACGAGTGTAAGAGAGGTCTTGCCATACAGACCATGAGCAGGCCCTTGTAGGCGTAGACGATGCTGAGCCAGATGGTCATGTGAGTGCTCTCGCAGTGCTCCAGCTGGGGAACGATCGTGAAGTCTTCCCCGCCCTCGGGATGCTGCAGCAGCAGGGGCGACACGGTAGCGTCAGAAGAGCAAATTACGCGACGTCGACAAATATATATTCACACGGGGCGAGGGCGCTTCGAGGGCTACACCTTTGTCGTTGCTTTTCGAGGGAGACCTGAATCACAAAAACAAATCAACAGCAAAGAAACACAGCACACACCGCCGGCGTAGGGATTTTCGCGATTGTGCCAGTTGTGTGTTTGGTTCTGCTGCATGGCCCTCCCGACGCGTTACTATCGTGTTGCGCCACAAGTTGTTGTTGCCCGACGTTTCGCACCACGTGCCGTTGCTTGAACGCTGAACAACAACAACAACAACAACAACAAAACACATCCGAGTGACAAGGAAGGGATGTTCATAATAAAGGTTTTTTTGGGTTATATCGCGTGAGTATGAATGTGTCGAACCCCTCCACCACCCGACAGAGCCAATCAGTAAGGGATTTGTCACGAAAACAAAGCGCCAAATAGTTACCACTTCAGCCCACCGGTGTGTCGGAGAGTAAATCTACAACATTTACAATTTGTCGTTAATGATGCTGGTAATTACAACCAGCATCATCGGGAAATTTGCCAGAATGGTGGAGAAATCCTCCTCCTGTGTCGGTGTTAAACAGAGCAGCAGCAGCAGTACGACGTCATCGCTGAACCCATCAGGTGCGGAGATCAGTGGCGGAGGAAAAGGGGGTGGTGTAATTTTATACTAGATTAGTAATCAGTTAATTAGTATGTGTTTCCTCTATAAGGAATTATAATTGTGATATGTATGACTTAGTAGTACGCTTCCTGGGATTTTAATGCGTAGGCTCTCATGACCAATCTGTCTTCACAATACATGTTTTCGGCCGAGATTGCGTGAATAACATATGTTGTCGGACACCCCTCCTCCACCCGACGCAGCCGATTAACAAAGTTGTCACGTGAACAGACGTAACGGTGTTTTTCGCACCTCCGATTAGCGCCGCGGTTGGCTACGTACGGTGCGAAAGAAGTTCAGCATACAGTAACACACACGCATCACTACTTCAGCAGCACCACTCGGAGTGTAGTTAGAGAGCGATCCACACACATCTAACAATTTGGTAAATTTTCAGATTTCTCGCCGTAACTACCACGGAAAGGTCAGACGAGCCAATTGTTGACAGTGTGCGGATCGCTCTCTAGCAAGTCACCAAGGTGTGTACTGTATGTTGAACTTCTTTCACACCGTACGTAGCCACCCGTGCTCATCGGCGACTGGATGTGATTGACCTCCGCGGCGTGCTGCAGCAGCAGTCACAAATCGGCACGTTCCCTTCACGTGACAACTTTATTAGATTGGCCGTGTCGGATGGAGGAGGGGTTTTACGAGACACATTTTTTTTACTTGCGAATCAAACACCGAACTGGGGGACGGGGGGGGGGGGCGCGGCGAGCGCAAACTAACGGCGTCAAGGTCGAGAGCGGCGCCACAGGCAACGTCGGGAAAGATCGGCGACGATGAGATGATGGTGGTGATGAGATGATGATGGTGGTGATGAGATGATGATGGTGGTGATGAGATGATGATGGTGGTGATGAGATGATGATGATGGTGGTGATGAGATGATGATGGTGGTGATAAGATGATGATGGTGGTGATGAGATGATGATGGTGATGAGATGGTGGTGATGCGATTATGGTGGTGATGAGATGATGATGGTGATGAGATGATGGTGGTGATGAGATGATGGTGGTGATGAGATGATGGTGGTGATGAGATGATGGTGGTGATGAGATGATGGTGGTGATGAGATGATGGTGGTGATCAGATGATGGTGGTGATCAGATGATGACGATGGTGATGAGATGACCTCCGCGGTGTCGATATTCTGACATTCGGAAGCAGCTGTGTCGAGCGCGGAGCGATGGCCGAGGGTGGCGAGGGCAGCAGCGGCCACGGGGGGCGACGCGGCGCTCGGGAACAGGCGCCAGGGGGGGCGGGGGGGGGCAGGGGGATGGGATCTGTGCGGGAGATAGCGGCGGAGGAGGAGGCGGCGGAGGAGGAGGCGGCGGATGTGTTTGTGCGAGCAGAGCGATGACCTTGAGCCGTGACGGGCGCAACCGCACTTGGATGAATTCACAATCGCAGAGAGAATGCATCTAAAATAAGCGACAGTCATGAAAGTAAACCCCGCAGGTAGGGCGCTGCTGCGCGGCGGCAGCGTGTGGATGCACCACAGTTGATAGGGAAGAGGGGCCGTGCAATTTCCTGGGCAGGGAGTAGAGCGCTGCCGCAGCAGTTAGCGCGTTGCGTTGCTACAAAACCGCGGCGACCTCTGTTCGATTCCTCAGCCACGGCTAACATCAGTGGCCAGTGATAAATTAACTGCTCACACCCCACAGCTTCACCAACCTGCAATGACCAGCGTGGTGAGGTATGGTCAAACAACCCCCGTGATTGGCACGGCTTTTGTGTCGAAGCGGATTGACAGTGGTGTATAATTATAATGATTTACTAAATTACTGGGGGAAAGGGGACTTTGGGAAGCAATTTTAATGGCGGGAAGGGAAGTGCTCAGCTAAAGGATGGGTAGCGATACCGTCGCAGCAGCCACACCATCACGTGACCACCTGTGGAATCGTGGTGGTGATGGAATTACGTTTTCCAAAATGTCACTCTTCATGAGAATGTCATCCATAAAATAAAACAAACACAGAATAATATGTGTACGTCATTGTTTAACTGTTTTGGTTTGTTTAAAATGCTGCTTTTAAAACACGTTATTACCGCATTTCGAAAGACATGAGACCTTTTAGAAAAAAAAAACCTGTCACAGAATAAACCATATACATATAATGTGTTACACGTAGCCCGATATTAGAAACGTGTCCTCTGTTATGCCGAAGGGCAGAAAAATGTGGACTTCATTAGCTCAGAGCCAGCACCGTCACATCACACTATCCTAACAGCTCGCATATTTCAGAGGAGCGGGCGCAGCCGGGGAGCGTGTGTTGCAGATTAATGGGTTCATTTTGCACTTGAATCACAAAAGCCGTGAGATTTACTGCGCTTGCTACACGCACCACGCACCGCCGTCTCCCTCCGACGGCCTGGTGGGGGTGGCGGGGGTGAGCGCTGACTTTATTGCCGACCAGCTGCAAAGGCCTAAACCCCTCCTGGGTCGTTAGTCAGACGCATTAGCTCTGCTTCCAAATGCGGTGGAGGGAGAGGCGGAGAGCAAGGCTGCTTACGACGTCCCTTCTCCTGCGAGTACTGCTGGAATTGAACCACTCACTGAAGGGTTCTGGTTTTCCCAGAATGTCCTCTTTTTGAGGAAGCTGTTTGATTTTGAAATCTAAGTCTCCCCTAGGACGTACAAAAAAATATAGGCCAATTGGCGGTACACCAGTGCTGCATAACACACCGGTCCTGATAAAACAGTCTGAAATCTAAATTTGAACCAGCAAATCTGTTTATTTATCAGTCTTTAACTGACCCTGTAGCCGAGTTTGACGCGATTCGAATGTTTACTCAGTCTCCTGAGAATTGCAAAAGAAAATGTCAATATTGACCGTTGATTTGGCCGATCAGGAGGGCGAGTGCCTGGAGCAGCAGCAGCAGCAGCTTTCTTGCGTTGCGAGCCTGAGGTGGGACTGGAGCATCAGCATGATCGTTGTCGTCTTGAACCACCGATGGATAGTACGGCAAGTCAAGCATTGGGATCGTTCGGGTTAGGTTTAGGGTTATTGTAATGGCAACAATAAATGAGGTCAAAATATATATCTTCTTGTGAACAAGCAAATGCTATTTAAGGACAAGGTTTCCATAACCGTCCGACCAAGTCTAGGGGCATGAGTTAAATCTGTCCAGGGCACGAGAAGTCAAAATACGGAAGAGCCAGTCGCCATCAGGCTGGGTGCTGCTAAACGGCAACAGACTGTGGCGCTTCTTCGTGTTCAGCTGCTCAGAACGATCGTCTTACGACTGCCTCGACATCACGGGAACCGATGTTGACGCAGCACCCCAAGATTGTCTGCCCGGGGTTAAAAATCGGGGGGAAATAAAATAAATGTAATATATATTGCGAAAAAATTGTGCTTTGTTTATGCTGGCGTACCGCACTACGTTCAAATACATTTTTTGTTAGTTGCATGATAATAACAACAACAGAACACCACTATGGGAACCTCATTTGCCAGTAAAAATATGATAATTGATTTTTGACCTTTTTATCTGGCAACAAAACTGACACCTTTTTACAAGGAGTCATGTTTGCATAGACCACAATACCTGCAGTCATAATACAAACAAAAGACATAACTCTGACAATGTGCACGGTCCTTGAAGTTGATTGGTCCACACCCGAGACAGCTTTCCTTAGAGCCTAGTCTCACATGGGTTGGACCAGATGACGCCAAAAGGCGCACAACTCAAGGACAATGCATCATCAGAGTATGAGAGCTCGGGGAAAGCATCTACACTATGGGAACCTCATTTGCCAGTAAAAATATTATAATTGGTTTTTTACCCTTCTATCTGGCAACAAAACTGACACCTTTTTACAAGGAGTCATGTTTGCATAGACCGCAATACCTGCAGTCATATTACTGGCAAATGAGGTTCCCATAGTGTAGATGCTTGCCCCGAGCTATCATACTCTGATGGTGCATTGTCCTTGAGTTGTGCGCCTTTTGGCGTCATCTGGTCCAACCCATGTGAGACTAGGCTCTAAGGAAAGCTGTCTCGGGTGTGGACCAATCAACTTCAAGGACCGTGCACATTGTCAGAGTTATGTCTTTTGTTTGTATTATGATTGCAGGTATAGCGGTCTATGCAAACATGACTCCTTGTAAAAAGGTGTCAGTTGTGTTGCCAGATAGAAGGGTAAAAAAACAATTAACAGAACACCACTCAAGAAAATACATTCGCATGCAGTTCTCTCCTCTGCTGGTATTGTGGTGATGTAATTTTCCTCTTCCTGTGAAGTGTCACAGTGCAATGTAAGGTGGCAACCCTAGCCACAGCAGA